ACTGTACCTTTTGTGTCACCAACTCCTCAGGCTGACATCAGGTCTAGGGCTCCTATCGAAAACATGCTCCAGTTCTCGCAAGTCCATGTGCAGGATTTGGGAACTATTCTGTACATGTGTCCTGGGATTTTGTAATTAACAGGTCACACCTACTTCCCAAGGCAGCTTTGCCATGCCCTAATCTCCTGTCTCATTTTCCCCTGAGAAACCCATATCCCTATAATTCTTTATGAGGTGCTAAGAGCTAGTGGAGGTTTCTGTTTTCTAGGTTGAAGAAAAAAAAACCAAACCTGTCAGAAGACAATGATAAAAGAGTTAGTGGCTATTGATCTGCTTGTTTGATGGGAAAAAGAAAGTAACTTTATTATTATGTTGGGGATGTAGAACCCAATATGAAAGGCAGGTCAGATTTTGATGCTTCTTGTGGAAGACAAAGTATGGCAAAGAGGGAGATTATATAAAGTATTGAGAGCCTTAGCCTTAGCAAGATTACCCACATAATGGATCTAACTAAAATCAGGAGCCTCAGTACATGCACCCATTTAAACTGTGGTGAATTAGGTCAGTAATGACTCCACTTATCTTCACCCAGAGCAATGCTGGACTCTTCCTTTCTGTTTTTTTTGGAGCGGGGAGGTGTTTTTGGTACTGGGGATCAAACTCGAGTCCTTGTGCTTGTGCAGCAGGCAGCGAAACTTCTGAGCTAAATCCCTGGCCCTGACTCTTCCTTTCTGAAGAGGAGCTTCAGTTTTTCCAGAGAGTCTCAGGAATAGCTTTCTTTTTAGTTATGTGAAAATTCTAGTGACCGTTTTCCCTGTAGGATTTTTTTTTTGGTACCAGGGATCGAACTTGGGTCCTTGCACTTGCGCAGCAGGCGGCGAAACCACTGAGCTAAATCCCCGGTCCTAGGATTTTTTTATAACTGTCCTTGAGGAAGGACCAGAATGTTTCTTCAGGAACTGGGAATAAGGCTAGGATTCTGAGGGGCTATAGAGCTACCCTTACAAGCCTTTTGATTTCTCAAATAGACTTTAGACATGTCTGGTTGGTGTCCCTTACAATTCGTGGCTACAACCTGCTTGGGAAGATGGACTTGTAGAATTTCTAGGAATTGTAGAATTGTAGAATTGTAGGAATTGCAGAATTGTAGAATTTCCTGCTTGCTTATTAGCAAACTCCTTTTCAGATTGCTGCAAAGACATGTTGAGCCAGAAAGGTATATTTGGACTCTATATAGATATATAGCTTCTTGTCTTTTCCTAATATCAATGCCCAAGTAAGAGCTATGAGCACAGCTCTTTGAGCAGAGGTTCCTGGGGGAAAAGTTTAGCCTCAATGACCTGTTGCAAACTGACAACTGCTTAAGCTGCTTTATGATGTCCTTCTTGGACAAAGCTACTTCCATCAGTGAACCACACTTCCTCAGGGACTTGGAAGGGTGGGTCATTGATGTCCTGCCTGCTTGCATAGGTCTGAAAGATAACTTGTTCATAAGAGTGACTAATGTTTTGACCTCCATGTATTAAAGAGGCAGATTTAGGAATAGTGCAAGTTGTTATAAAATAACCTCAGGGATGTTTAAGAGCATGTCCTGATACTTAGCAAACCATTGCCCTGTTAACCAGAAGAACTGGTCTCAAGAATCACTCTAACCTGATGGGGAGTCAGGACTTCTAGTTCCTGTCCTAAAGTTAGTTTTGCAGCTTCCTCTGTTAGCATAACTGTAGCTACTATTGCCCTCAGGCAGGATGGCCATCCAGCAGCCACTCCACCTAACTTTTTGAAAAGTATGCCAGTGGGAGGAGTTCTTGTCCTAGCCTTTGTCTCAAGACCTGACATCTAAAGCAATTCCTCTCTTTTGGGGTATGTAGAGGAAAAAGGGTTTCCTTAAATCAGGTCTCTTTTTTTTTTTTTCTCCCAGTACTAGGGATCAAACTCAGGACCTTGTGCTTGCCAGGCAGGCTCAGCACCACTGAGCTACATCCCACTCCCCCTAAATCAGGTATCTTATTATACCATGCAGCAGGATCTACCTATTGGTTAATTAGGTCTGGAAGATCTGACATAGTCCTAACAGTTAGAATCCATTTGGCCTTTGCCAGAATTTGAGAATTGCCCCAATTTTGCTAGTAAATGTCTTCCTAGCAAGGAAGTAGGACATTGGGACAATTAGAAATCCATGGTTAAACATTTGACCTTCAAAGTGATATATCAGAGCAGGAGTAAAGAATCTCTGACTAAGGGACCCCTTGACCCCAACTATGGCTATAGATCTAGAGGAGGGTTTTCTAGAGAAGTCAAAATAGAATGAAGTCACTGAAGTGGCTCACCCATGGCATCCAGCGTTACCCAGGTTTCCTCATAGGAGAAGGTAATATCCATGGTCAGGGCATTGTAGATACCCTTGGGCCTCCTAAGAGCAGGAAATGAGGGTTTTGGCTGGCCAGCCCCTCTCTGGAAGCAGGGACAGTAAACCTTCCAGTGCCATGAGTCAGGCACATTGACTGCCTCACATGCGAAGCAGGGCCCAGGCAGTGGCTTGGTGTAGTCACATGCCTAGTGTCCAATCTTCTTGTCCTTGATCATTCTTGGGTTTCCCCTTAGATTATTTGGGTGAGTATAAAGCATTGCCAATTGCAGCAGCTATAATTCTAGCTTTTCTCTTTTGACTCTTACCTAGATCTTGATTGTTGAATTAAAAAAAGGAAACGTTCAACAATTGGGTCACAGATGTCTGGGGTCCCATCTGAAGTTTCTATGTTAAACAGATGGGAGAGACCCCTATTTCCCTGAGAGCCAGGTGGGGGTCTGAGGACAGGATCATCAAAGATATTTTTCTCTTCTTCAGGGGACTCTCTAATCACCATAACTTTTAATACCCAATGGGTCAATGTCTGCTCTTCGGGGGTGGAAGACTGCTAACTCCGAGGAGCTGGAACATCTTGAAGATGGGATGTTTTGCCAATTCCTGCAGAGATGGGCCTTAAGGGGAAAACAAGGAAACTCCCTAGAGGACAATCAGATAAAAGTTAAGGGTGCTCTGAGGAGATTGAATGCAGAAATCAACTGTGGGTTGTGTGACTTTTTCTCTTTAGTATACTTCACTCTAAGAGTTAAGGCCCTAAATATATATTTTGGAGGCACACAGTTGTTTGTTTTTAATGACCAGTCTTTTGAGTACCATATTTAAAGACTTGTTTCTTACCCTTTTTCTTAGTTTGTCTGGCCAGGAAGAAGCTATTGAGTCTTGTTTTTATGTTTTGGTTTTGTTTTGTTTTCCTGATTTGTTCCTTTTGGGAACACTCAGTGTTTTGTTTTTTTTTTGGTCTGTGCTACATCCCTTTGGTGAATCCATCACTGTCAGAATTTGCAAGCAGTGATTTGCGCCTTCTGGAGAAGGTGACTTCATTTTGACCCTGTGAACACCTGTGTTCTTCTGACTGAGTGTGTGGTCAGACTAGTTTGAGAAAATGGACAGTATTTGCTGGTCTTTGAGGGGTCTTCTTAGATTAGTGGACTTTTTAAGGTAGAAGGTAACATTAATCTACTTTTAATTTAGTGAATTCAGAGTTCTAAATATATAGCTATAGACTGGCAAAATACTTGGGGCACAACTCTACATTGTCATTTCTCAAGCTTTAAGAAATTAACACATACTTTTGTGGTATTTAGGAATAAAGTATGAACTGAAGCAAATGAAAGCAAAGGTTCTCAGCTCAATGAAATTTAGAAAAACTTTGGCAGTTTAGTTGATAGCCACGGACTTGTGCTCTTCATGCACTATTATGATATGCACTGATAGAAAAGCACACAAGACATGTCTGCAAGAATCTCTTTGTGCATTTCACTGCTGTCCTAGGGCACTGCTGTCTCTGTGTTCATTTTAGGTTTGTGTTTGGATGTTGCACAAATAACTATGAAATGTCAAATTCAAGTGTCTAAAGAAATAAGACTTTAATTTTCCTTTTCATTTAATGTTAGGACAGGAGGTGGCTAATCTCACTTCCACTTAACAATATTACTTCAAACAGAAAAGGACAATAAACCATGAACTATTTTGATTTACATATTTTTCCTTATATTTTTGATGTTTGCTTATTACCATAAAACTTTATTGTACTTTCAAAAAAAATCATCTTTGTTAAGTATTGACTCATCCTAGATTTATGTATAATTCAGACTTAATTTTGTATTGACTTTAATGAAACTTTAAAACCATCTTATTTTAGAGTGATTAATCAAATAAAATAATGTTTATGTATTAGCTAACTTAAGTGAAATATCTCTTAAGATTGTCTTTTATTTAACCAAAATAGGGCATAGTTTAGTTTGAGTGGGAAAGGGAATAATTGGTTTTTTAAATTCTGTGCCTAGTTCTAGAAGAAGATTTGAAGTGACTTTTTACATTGTGCTGTGAAGAGTAGATAATATTTATGGAACATAGTCTTAAACAGTTTGGGAGTAAGTTTTAGTCTGAAAAATAGATATTTATGCTGAGTTATGTTAAGTTAGTTATTTTTATTTGTGACATACAAAAGCTGGAAGATAAAAATTGATGAAGTGATTTTTCTAAAAATATGAGAATAAGTATGAGAATTGACTATATTAAGTTAAAAAATGAACTTTAGAGTTGATGTGATATTTTGATATATTTGTAAACTTTATTTCTCCATTAATTATTTTTGTCTTATGTGAAATCACTTAACATTTAATTTTTGCTTAAATTATAGCCGTGCTTTATTACTTTACCTTAGAGGGCATTTTAATGCCTGGAGAAAAACTGTGTAAGTAAACTCTTTTAAGTGAAAAAAAAAAATAATTCAGCCTAATTGTCACCATGCCTTGCTAACCTAGAACAAACCTCTGCACTCAGCAGAACACTATGCCTTTGTTGTTCCTCAATAAATCTGGGAGTTTGAGTCAGTTCGGGACTTCATTTTGGTGGAGTCTCCTGAACCTCCACATAGATACTGTTTCCTGTGTTTCTACTTGTCTATCAGGGTTTGCTGGCCCAAATCCAGTGCCATTGTTCTACCGGAGGATCATAAAGACCCATTTTATTACACTGGCTGTTCAAGAAGTTGTGTGCCTTTTGTGACCATTGTCAGGATACCCCTCATCTTCTGAACCTCACAACTCTAGTCTCCTACATTGGATGTCCTAAGGAGAAGATACAGAGTATTTTCAGGTGAGTGGAGGGTGGACACCAATAGTCCTTAGCATACCTGGCTGGCAGGTGCAGCTGGGCTTGACTAACAACAACTATTACACATATTTCATTTTTATGTGTAGCCAAAGTATCCTGAATGAAATCACTAAATCACATTATAAACCCTCGTCATTTAAATTTTTGTTTAGAAATGAAAAAAGCCTTTCTGGTTATGTGAATGACAAAACTGAGCACTGGATGACAAAAATAGAGTTACAAAATTTCACGTGGATAGTCCACTTTTGACATCCTGAAATTCTGCTAATAACTTTCCCCAATCTATTTTTGAACAAAAATTAGGTCACTGGATATTCTATATTCAATAGGGGGAAACACTAAGAAAAATTTAGCGTAAACATTCTTTTAATTGTAATCATTCTCTCCGGCACCTTTAGACAAATACAGTTCATCTACAAACCACATCATGCAGTAATTTGAATTGTTTACAGTGATCCAAGAAACATATCTGAAAAGATCACACTTCCAACCCAAATGTTAATAATGAAGAACTTAGGAAACAAAATAATCTTTGATATCCTTTTAAGGTGATGTTAGTAAATTATAGCAATTTCCTGTTAGCCCTTAAAGTCAGGTATTACTACTGCAATCTATGTGCTAGAGACCATGTAAAATCCTCCAATTCACCTTCTCTTTTAATTCTCATAACAGCTCTGAAAGAAAAATGTTATTACCCAGCTCATCTTACATGTGATAAAAGTGAGCTTCAGAGAGGTTACATAAAACAATTTTTCTTTTCCTTATTGATCGATTTATTTTGAGATGGAGGCTCACTATATTGTTTAAGCTGTCCTCAAACTTCTGGGCTCTAGCAATCCTCCCATGTTAGCTAGAGTTACAGGTATGTGCCATTATGCCTGGTTATACTGCTCAACTCTTAAATGGCAAAGTGGAGATTCAAAATAGCTGCACCATTCTTCTAATTCCAGTGGCACATGTTTAATAAATGTTCTCTGGCTGCTTCTCCCTTGCAGCCAATACCATGTGGTATTTCCAGTTACAGATCCTCTTAGATTTGTGTACAGTGGTATATTCTATACAAATAACCAAATTCTTTTCTCTTTCTTTCTTTTTGTGGTAGTGGGGATCAACTGAGCTACATCCCTAGCCCTTTTTATTTTTTTAATTTGGCTCAGTTACCGAATTGCCCACGCTGGCCTCAAACTCGAAGTCCTTTTTCCTCAGCCTCTCTCAGTGTTGGAATTAGAGGTGTGTGCCACTGTGGCTGGACCAAATGACTAAATTCTCGACATTTCTCTTATCTCACTTTTTCCATAAGGACAAGGCCATGGCTTAGCTTTTATATACTCACTGTTAAAATGTCTAGGGCATTTTTATAGCAACAACTTTCTATTCCTTTTTAAGAATTTATTTATTAAAGTTATCATGTCTCTTGACAACTAGTCTAAGAAGGACTGTATGAGTCATCAGTGTTAGATCATAGTTAAGTCATACAATAACCAACACCAACACTCCCAGCCCAGCCACAGCCAACACTTACAGGCAGGGAAATAGAAAATACTATTATTTATAGATCTACAAAGACATCTTGTACTTGAGTTCAATGGCCAGAATGACCGGAAGAGATATGTAACAGTACCTGTTAGCTTCATTACCTGAATGTATCAGAAAGTGAACTCACTGCTACCAAATTTGAATGCTTCTGAAAGAGTTAAGTTCAGCAAAAATAGCTTTTCTTTTTCACACTTCCTGTGCTGATCATGGGAAATGTGATTGACATGAAAGATAGCTAGCTGTTCAGGAGTCATCAAACACTTCTTAATTATACTTGTCATTAGCTGAAATACACAAAATACATTTGTACAAATTAGGGTTTGTGCTGATGGAGAACAAAAAGAGGTATGCTGCCAGGAAGTGTGATGATGTCCCTGCTGTCACTGGCTTCATGAGGCAGAGGAGTCAGGAAGGGGTAAGAGCAGGGGAGAGGACTTTACAGGGCAAGTCGAACTCACGGAGGAGAGGAGACTCCCACAGTACTGAAATGGCTCCATAAAAAATGGAGCCTTGATTCAACTAAAGTCGGGTTAATGAAGAGTTTTTAACAACCTAAGGGGAGGTTTATGTTGAGTTTTTTTAAAGCAAGATTACAAAGTATTTGTAAGGGAATCTCAACAAATACTTATAAAATTCACTTGAAGGAAATACAGCAGTTTCAACCAAAGTTATTTCTAGGTGCTTGGATTATGATTTCTATTATTTCTGTATTTTCTACAAAGTACATGATTACTTTTATGAAAAAAATAAAATTTGATGATTAAAGTAGGAGTGGAGATAAAAATGAAGTTATCAAAAGGACACTCACTATACTTCTCCACCACAGCTCTGGCTGCATCTCTTTGTCGTACTGAAGGATTATTTCATTACTCTTCAGACACCATTCTTGGAGAACCCTTGTGATTGTTACTACTCCCAAGGGTCAACTATTCTGAAGTGCCTGGTAGTTGTGATGGAGTTTTCATGGAATGTAATAAAGATTTTAGTAGATAGGCGATTCAATCAATACTAGGGTTTCTCAAGCTGAACCAGGTAATCTTTTAGTGTATGGGGCTGGTGTGTGCACTGTAGAATGTTTAACAGCATCCCTTGCCTCTATCCACCAGATACCAGTAGCAAGGCAAATGTCCCAGGGACAGGGGTAAATGACCTGAGTTGAGAACTCCTAGATCTATACCATGCCAGAAGGAGATTCCCAAAGCTATCATATGAAGTGGAGAACTAAGAGCTTTCTCTACCTGCCAAGAAGGTCCCACTCTATTTTCCCACCCTGGAGTCACCACATGGAGCATGGCTTTGCAGTCCAGAATATGGCCGAACTTACTCTTTCTGGAGCACTGGACCAGCTTTTTGCAAAAAATCTTGAGGTGGTGATCCCCTTCCAAGATGAAGATTCATAAAAACAGTTTTTAACAATGGCACTGAGATTGAATGGATAAATGATTGAGAACCTTTGACTTTGCTAAGCATTGTGGGATATTACACAGACATTTTCACCTATCATACTGACAGTCAGCCCTACCCTCAAGAAGCTCACAATTTTGTCTTAGTAGTTCAGCATGATCATAAGTTAACCCCCCAAACTTGGAAATTAAAGAAATATATTAACCATTACTGTTAAAGCAACATCTAATGAGTCAGAAAAGTTATGAAAATGTTTGAAACAGAGAACAGAGACAGAGAAAAGAGACAGAGGAAGAGAAAGAATTGCTTTTAGACTGATAAGAAGAGAGAACAGTGCTTTAATTTTTGAAACATACCTGAAGGAAGAATAGGTCAATCTGAAGGGGCCCTGGTCATCCCTGAAGGCCAAGACTGAGGAAAGGCAGTGGGGTGAAGGTAGGTAGTATCCATTCTGTCCTGTCCAGAGGCATCATGTTCTCCAATGTCTGTACTAAGGCTGTTCCTTTGGTAAGATGGCGGTCACAGCCTGATGCCTTGAAATGTCACATATTCAATTCATCTGACTCTTCTTGCTCAGATTTTGTGTTCAATTACTTTCTATTAGTTCTATGTAATCAAAAGAAGATATATACAAACATTATTTGCTATAAAATTTGTTAGTTGTTTGCATTTGTAGTACTGGATATAGAACCCAAGGAGTGTTGAGCTAAATACATAGCCATTTTTAAAAATCTTGTTTTGAGAGAAGGTCTCACAAAGTTACCCAGGAAGCCCTCAAACTTGCAATCCTCCTGCCTCAGTGTCCTGAGTAGTTGGGATTAGAGGCATTAAGCACCACACCCAATTTAGAATTTTTTTAAAGGTAGGAATCACTTAGATTGGACTGGTTAGTGAAAGCTTTAAAAAGGGATAAGACCAATAAAATAAGTGAAAGATAAGATGTGAGCAGGTCTGGAAGAGTGAATATGACTGGGTCAGGTAAAAAGAAGGTGAGGCTTTCCAGATACATGGAATATCTAGGACTAAAACACAAAGAACTGAAACAGATCAGGGAGTAGTCCAGTTTAGCTAACAAAGAAATTCAACAGCAAGAGACAGGGCTGGAAAGAGATTTGGGACCAGATAATGGAGGATTTGGAAAACCAAACTTGTTTGTTTGTTTGTTTACTTTATCCTCTGGGCAGTAGAAAGTCACTAGAGATTTTAAAGCAGGGAAGCTCCCGATAAAAGTTTTGAAATAGTCCTCAAATGGCCAAGGAATTAGCTCAGTGGTTCCACCACCTGCCTCTCAAGTGAAAGGTCTCGAGTTAGATCTGAGTTCAATCGCTGGTACCAAAAAAAGAAAAAAAAGAGAGGAAAAAAGAAATAGTCTTCAAACAATACTGTAGAGAACAGATTGGAGAGTACAGAGACTAAAGACAGAAAGGTGCTGAGGGTTAGGGTTAGGGTTAGAGTTAGAGTTAGAATTACGGTTAGGTTAGGGTTAGAGTTAGTATAAAATAAGGGTTCCCAATGGCAAGACATTTTGAAAGGAAGCTCATTGAGTCTTGCATACTAATTGGATAGAGAAAGGAATTCAGAGAAGTGTTAAAGAGGGATTCAGTGTTTGTACAGCACCTCCCCGTGGTGAGAGAAGACACCCTGATGTGAGTTAGCATAAATGTTATAACTTAGCTCATTATGCAGCAAGAAGATCTCAGTTTCTTCATTTACAAAATGAACATAACAACTTCATCAGCTAGATTGTAGCACTAATTGAGATAAAATCCTATCATAAGTAGATAATGATGAAAGCTATCATTTTTGAGTCCTTATTATGTGCCAGGTAGGAGCTAAGTGCCTTATGTAAATTACTGTAATACCTTAGTTCGCAAATTCTTCTGTTTGAAAACAATTCTGTTCACCAACAGAAGGGCTCAGCAAAATTTTGCTTGCATTTGAGAACATTGCATCAGGTGAGGAACATGACCTCAAGCCATCTTCTCCAGAATGGTGGAACAGAGTAAGTTCGAGAACCGAGGTGCCACTGTATTTTATTTCAGCCTCATAACAACCCTAACAACATCAGCATCCATATTTACAGGCAAGGACCTGGAGAATACAGGAATATTGACCAAGATCAGTGGCTGCTCGATGTGCAGTGGAATTTGCACCCCTCCCACCAGATCTGGTTTTCGAGCTAGTCAGCTTAACCACTCCACCACCCCTACTCCTGGAGTGAAAAGTAACTGTTCTGTAATGTTACGCCATACAGTTTTTTTTCTGGTCTAATTATGTTCACCAAGCACTTTGTTTTTTGGTACCAGGGATCAGACTCAGGTCCTTGCGCCTGCACAGCAGGTGGCGAAACCACTGAGTTAAATCCCCAGCCAGCACCTTCTTAATAATTGCAAAGCTCGGTGTCACCAGTAGCCACAGAAATTATTTTTCTCACTGAAAATGAAATAATTACAATTTATCATGAGGAGAGGTTTATTTAGTCTCACAGTTTGTAGAAGATTCAGTCCATTTTCAGCAGGCTTCAAGGCGAGAAGGGCATGGCAAAAAGGTCTGGCGGAAGAAAGCTACTCATATCACGGAGGCCAGGAAGCAGAGAGAAGGGCGGGATCAGCTCAGGCCCACAGTGACCGCCTCTTCTGACCAGACACCACCTCCTTACAGCAAATCAGCTATAACCCCCCATGACCCAGTCACCTTCCCAAAGGCCCTCCTCTGAACACAGGAGGCTTTGGGGGACAGTCTAGATCTAAATCATAACATCCAGCAGTTTCACTCCTAGACATATGCCCAACAGACTTGAAAATATGTCCACAAAAACACTTGTACAGAAATGCTACCGACTGAATGTTTCTGTTCTCTCCAAATTCACAAGTTAAAGCTTGAATCCCTAATATAATTGTCCTGAAGGTTGACCTTACAGAGATAATTAGGTCCAGATGTTAAGACTCTGTAACTTGTGAGTTTAATATAATCCAGTAAAGAATTCAATGAACTTTCCTCCTCTTTTTTTTTTTTTTTTTTTTTTTGTACCAGGGGTTGAACTCAACTTTGCACTTGCAAGGCAGGTGCTGGAACCACTGAGCTAAATCCTTGCCCCTTTCCTTCTCTTTTTTAAACATGGTCATAAATTAGAAAAGCTTGTTGGTTCCGCTGCCTGCCTCGAAAGCACAAGGTCCCAAGTTTGATCCCCGGTACCAAAAAAAAAGAAAGAAAGAAAGGTTTGTTGGTAAACATTAATAAGAATAACTAGGAAAATACCAAGAAGGAAGAGCAGCTCTGGTGTAAAGATATACTATGAGGTAACTGGAAAATATGGTCAATGTTTAAATTAAAAATTATTACAGTAAAAGACATTTCCATTCATCCCTCTCAAAATACCCCCTCACTTTTTTTTTTGGAACCAGGGATCAAACTCGGGACCTTGCACTTGCAAGGCAGGCACTGGAACCACTGAGCTAAACCCCCGGCCCTGTCCCCCTCACTTTGAACACACTTATCCCATCATTCTTGCCACTTTTTTTATTTTAAAAAAAATTTTATTTATGTATTTATTTTGGTACTGGGGATTGAACTCAGGACTGAGTTTGCAAGGCAGGCATGGTGCCACTGAGCTAAATCCTGGCCCTACTTGCCACTTTCTGAAGCAGTTCTAGAAGTCTTCTAGATCCTTAGTTGTGCTGTTGTGGCTACCTCGATGTCCTGCACAAATTCAAAGCATTTACCTTTCATAGTCATTTTGACTTGGGGAAGAGCCAGAAGTTGTACAGTGCAGATCTGGTGAATAAGGCAGATGAGGACGCACCATAATGGTTTCATGAGACTCTGTGGGATGGCACCAGCAGCAGTATTCACCATAGTTTTAATCACATCTCTTAAAGACACTCATGAAAGAGGACTTCCAGAACTCCTTTAGAAAGTGGCAAGAATGATGGGATAAGTTTTTCGAACTGAACGGGAGGGTTTTCTTTGTTTTTTTGTTTTTAGGAGGAATTAATGGCTGTGTGCCTTTTACTGTAACAATTACTTTAAAATTTGAACATTCACCGTATATTTTGATCACATCTCATACAAAGCCCTCTAAAACAGAGGAATGTACAGATTAATAAAAGAACATAAAAGCTGCAGAAGTAGCCAAAGTACACACACAGAGCTAATATATGATAAAAGTGGTATCTCAAGTTACTGGAGCAGTGATAACCTGTTAAATAAATGGTGTTGAGACAACTTGATACCCGTTTGTAATAAAGAGGACATGGAATGTAGTTCAGTGGTAAAGCAGTTGTCTCGCATATGCAAGGCCCTGGGTTCGATCCCCAGTGCTGGAAAAAAATTTTTTCATTACTAAAACTATAGCCATGAATAAACTCTAAATATATCAGAGATCTAAATGTAAAAATTAAATACAAGTACAAGAAGAAAGTACTGTACCAGATAAGCAGATTCCTCTATAACTTGTGTGTAGGGAAAGGCATGACTATAAGTCATATACTGAAATATGACTCAAAGTCCAGATGTAATAAAATAAAATTTGATTAATTTTACTACATAAAATTAAAAGCCTTAGACCCAGGACCTAGCCCAACCTGCCTCCTTCCCTGGGCTTTTTGTGCCCTGCCCTCACCCTGTTCATCTTTGAGGACAGAGACCCTTCCTTGGGGGAGAGGACCCTGGGGAAACAAATCAGACTTAAGCAGCACTGCGATCTGCAGGCCAAGCGGGCTCAGGTTTTCCTGAGTGGCCTTAGAGCAGTGGCAGGATCCAAATTCCATGTTTAATAAGCTCCCCCTGAGCCTGGTGTGTTGGCCCAAGCCTGTAATCCCAGCAATCTGGGAGGCTGAGGCAGGAGGATCCCAACTTCAAACCTAGTCTGGTCAATTTAGTGATTTAGTGAAACACTGTCTCGGGGGGGAAAAAAGTTAAATGGGTGTGAATAGGAAAAAAAAAAAAAAAAGCTAGCAAATTCGAGAAACTGGGAGAAAATATTGACAACATATATCATAGAAAAAGGACTAATTTCCCTAATCCACAAAAAGCAAAATCCCCGCTGCTCTCGGGCAGGGCGGGTGCTCTGCACACTACTTAGAGGGAGGGGCCCGCGGCCCGGAGGAGAGCGCCAGGACTCGCCAGGCTCTGCCGGTACAACTGCAGCTTGGTGCTCAGGTTCTTGAGAGGAGCGGAGCCCTAAGACCCCTGACCAGCGGCGGGAAGGAACGGGGCGCAGTCCTCCTGGGCTCCGCGTTCCCCTCACTGGACGTCTTTCCCTTCTTCCTGGACTTTTTTCGCTTTCTTTTCTGCGAAAATGCAACTGTGAAAGGTCGAGTTCTGCTGCCGCCAAACACTGGGGGGACAGAATGAGGGGGGAAGAAAAAGGTTTACTGAAAACAAGCCAACAGGTTGAAAGGAGACTCTTGTCCTTAAAAAGCCATCATCCAGTCAGCGTGGTGGTGCCCGCCTGTAATCCCAGCATTCCGGAGGCGGAGGCACGAGGAAGGCCTGGGCTGTTTAACGACTTAGCCAGTCACTGTCTCAAATGAAAAACAACTGGGCTGGGGATTTAGCCCAGCGGCACCGGGTCTGCCTTGCAATTCCAAAGTCCTGAGTTCGATCCCCAGTATCAAAAACCCCAAAAAACAACAACAACCACAAAAGAGTTGGGCACATAGCTCAGTGCAAAAGCCCTGCCTTCAATCTCCTGCACCGGAAAAAATAAAAAGCCATCATTCTTCAGAGAGGTGGCTGGAACAAGGCTTTTATTATAGGGTTCTAGGGGAGGCATATCATATGGAGGGCACCAGAGTAGTTACAATTCCAGGTGGTGTGTTTGTCTGACGCTTGGAGAGAGCAAGGTAAGAGGATTTTGATCATACATTCGCATTACTAGGAGAACAGGGGAATAGGTGAGTCATTGTAATTTGACACAGATTTGGAGAGAAGTTCCATGACATTGTCATTTGAGTAGGAGAATGAGCTGGAGGGACATTTTGGGGTGAGGAGAGATGGGGGGGAGTAGAAGAATGGAAGCACAGACAGCCCCTGCTTTGGTAAAGCTGATCTGGTGTGATTGGATCCTAGGAGGATTTGGGGGTGAGGAAGAGACGTGAGGTAAGCAAAGTAGAATGAAAGATGCCCAATGGCCAAGCTTCAGAATCGAAGCTTTCTTTTCTAGGTCAGTGGTTCTTAAAATGCAGTCCCAAGACCAGCATTAGCATCACCCTGAATCTTGATAGAAAGGAAGGAACATTCTTGGGCCCAGCTGCATGGTGCTCTAGGGTGGGTCTTAGCAATCCTTGTCAGTGCTCCTGACACAAGATCCCCTCTCAGAAGCACTCCTGGGCTGTCAGGGGACCACTGAAGACAAATCCTCAGAGGAGAGATGTGCTCAAAGCTGTTTTCTCAAAAGGTAGCTTGAGGTAAGGGGAGCTGGGACAGAGAGAGCCTAGAGCAGCATGCTGGAGCAGGCTGTTGGTTAAGATGGAAAGCTCTGAAAGGTTGCCATCACTGGCCTACAGGGTATTCCAGTAGTCCTAGTGAAATAGCCAAGAACTCGGACTAGACAATGAGATTTGAAGTGTGAAAGGAGAAGCAGGACCAGGGACAGCAAAGAGGAGTGATGACCACATTTTAGTACACTGAGATGCATATATATTTTACATGGCTTCTTGTTTTCCCAGGAAATAAATCTGAGTTCCCTCTACAAGAGGAGGCATTTAGTCAGGATGGTTTGGGGGCCCTTTTCAGCTCAGCTGCCGAGGGCACAAAGCTGCCGAGGGCACAATGCTGCCAAGGGACTTGCAGTGCCTGCCCGAGGCGCCTTTGGAAGAGGCAGCCAGGGTGACAGCCTCAGCACCCATTGCCTCCTCCGGATGCCCACTTCTCTGCTTATTCCTTATACTCACTGCCTTGGGCTTGTACCTCCCAGACAAAGAGCATCTTAATCTTCACCTCAGTCTCAGTACCCAGTCAGTAAAAACGAAGTAGTGCTGAATTCACGTATGGAAACTAAAGGAGAAACAATACTAAACTATTCAGATAAGTGTAAGAAAGTCCAATGATGGTCTGATTTTTTTCCCTACTTTGATGCTATTTTTAGGGAAACATTAGATGATCAATTTTATTTTTTATTTCTTCTTTTGCTCTGGAGAGAAGAATGGGCCCAGTCTGCTCATGCTCTGAGCAAGGAGGGAACAGTAGTTTGATAGGATGTTACTTACGCTTTCTCCAGGCGAGAGGAAATTTGTCCCCTACGTTTCTCTTTATAGTAACCTATTTGCAATGAAGAAAGGAATTGAGGAATATGATTTTCACACCCAAAAGTGGCCACAGTGAACTGAATAGTAAAATTGTGGCTACTGTGATAATACAGTATTCAGCAAATAGCCAGACACCATGGTGCACACCTGTAGTCACTTGGGAGGTGGAGGCAGAAGGATTGCCTGGGGTTTGAGGCCAGCCTGGGCTACACAATGAGGCCCTCTCTCAAAACAAAAATAAAAACACCCTCCCCAAAAGTTAGCAAACAGCTTCACACAAAATCAGCCAAGACTCCCATGCACATGTATCCAACTATTTATGTGTGTGCTGCAGGAAACACCCAGAACCTGAACCTAAGGAAAAATGAAAAAGATTGATGGAAAAAAACACAGACAACCTGTTCCAAATATGGGCTTAATTTTATTTAAAGCAGATAATAACATCTTCCAAAGAGTGAAAGTAGTAATTCAAACACTCACTAACCAATTTTCACATCATGAAATGTGCATATGTACACAATGAAATACAGGATCCAGAACTTAGCAGAAACCAACTTTTGCTTCTTCAGAATCAATTTAGCCAAAAGATCAGAAGACAGAACAGAATCGGTTCACTGTAATGATAAAAATTAATGAGTCATGAATAGCTCAAAGTACAGACCAAATGCCGCTGCGTGCACCTGTAACCCCAGCTACTCAAGAGGCAGGAGGATCACAGGAGTCTGGAACAGGAGGATGGTGAGTTTGAGGCCAGATTAGACAACATAGTGAGACCCTATCTCAATAAAGGAACCAACAAAAAACACTAAATATATAATCTTATTTTTTAAAAAACACAGATGTGCCATTTATCTTGAGTTTCCTTAACTCTCTGAACAAAAGAAAGTATTAGGAAAAAGGAAAAGAAATGGAGGTCTGAGTTCACAGGACAGGTTTATTTCAGAACAAACCTGAGAGGGGGCTGGGAATTTAGCTCAGTGGTTCCAGCACCTGCCTTGAAAGTGCAAGGTCCCAAGTTCAATCCCTGGTACCAAAAAATAAAAGAACAAATCTGAGAGGGACCGCTCTGACACTGGAGACCAGACAGGCTAACTCTCATGCATTCTTTTATAGGGTCATGGGCATAAAGGGGGGAAGGCTATAGCAGGAAAAAGTCACAATGGGACTTTTGAGGGGGAGAGTTCAATACAAAGGAGTTGTGGCTGTCCCCCTAGGAAGAGCAGGGCTGAATGATGGGAGTTGTGGATTGTAGTTATGGTCACTGGGCCTTATCAAATTTAGGAAACCTATTTCCCTCTATCAAGCTACTAGCAATATGAGTTGGGCAATAAAAATATATAAAGCACTAATTATATATCAGGCTTTGTATTAAAAATAATAGCCTTGGGCTGGGGATTTAGCTCAGTGGTTTTGCCGCCTGCTGCGCAAGCGCAAGGACCCGAGTTCAATCCCCGGTACCAAAAGTAAAATAAAATAAAATTTAAAAATAATAGCCTTGTTCTTATTCCTCTTATTACCAAAGGTTGCCCAATCTCTACTCCTGCCTACTTTTCTTGCTGGGGAGAAGGAGGGGAATATGGGTCTCTAATTTTCCAAAACCAAACTTGTTGCCAACAGGTAGAGGTTAAAGTGCAAACAAATAAGAAACTATAAAGTTTCATCCCAGAGATGGCCATGGGAAGAGGATCAAAGGATTTGTAGCTCAGGGGCTCTAGCTTATATCCCCAGCACCACAAAAGAAAGAAAAGGAAAAAACTGTCCATTGGTAGCAAGTAGTGGAACTGAAAGACGTAGATTATTATTTCAGACCCACCCAGACCCCAACCATGAAGGATACATGACACTTCCATAGCAAAGCTACATGGTTCTTGGGGCTTTTGTTTATCATAAAAAAGCAACACTCCAGAAATGCAGACTAGCAGATTTCTATTCTTATACAAACTACTTCTTCAGATGAAGTTTTAAAAAGGCTAGAGAAGGATGTTGATTAGCAATAACTCCTCAAACATATCTTTAGAAAGCTTGGTTAAGACATTCTTCTAGTGGTTTTCTTGTTCAATTCCTTTAGCTTTCAGCTCTTCCTTAACGCGTTTCAGGTAATTAGGATCAGGGTAGCCATATCTGCAGAAAGAAAAATCCCTTTAGCTCCATTACAAACGCTTCTTTGTAATCTGTACAGTAGACATTTGGCATATGAGGATTTAATATTCAGGGATGCAAACATTCACAATAATCCTGAGGACAAGTGAATATAATCTTTCATGAGTGTGCAGATGTGAATCATTTAGCTAGTAGGTGAGCCTAGCTATCTAAGCAGCATCTATCTTCCAACCAGGCTTTTATTATTTTTATTTTATTTTATTTTTTTGGTACCGGGGATCGAACCTGGGTCCTTATGCTTGCACAGCAGGCAGTGAAACCACTGAGCTAAATCCCTGGCCCCCACAACCAGGCTTTTAAAATTCTTAGTTTCTTGGGGCTGGGGATTTAGCTCAGTGGTTCTGTTTCCTGCCGTGCAAGCACAAAGTCCCGAGTTCGATCCCCAGTACCAAAAAAAAAAAAAAATTCTTAAGTTTCTTTTAAGTAGTAACTCTTATAAAGTTATAGCAATTTGCTGTATTTTATAGAGGAAGCATTATAAGAATATGCCAGAATTACAATTTTAGATTTTAAAAGGTCTTGACTTACTTCTTTTCGAATACCAGAGGTCTAAACTAGTCTGAGTTTCACACATGAAAAAATTCCTGTAACACAGACTTCACCATTACTAGTCTCTTATAAGTAAGACTTTTTCTAATGTGCTATTGGCCAAGTGAGTTCAGATACTTTGTGGATTGATGGGGAAAGGGGAGATAAATAAAGATGACCTTAAAGGAAGCAAAGTAAATAGCATTCCTCGAATCTGTCCTTCAAATAGTTAGGAAACCCCAAGTTAAATCAACTTAAGATATCAGTCATCTTGAATTCTGAAATCCCTTTCCCTATGACACAAGATTTAATAAAAGCATAATAGAGTCCCAGCACCTGGAAGGAAGCTCCCCCGCTGCCATTCCACACTCTTAGGGCAGAGAAGGTGAGCTGTTTGGGTGCCAGAGGCAAACCCCCCCCCCCATGGAAATGAGAAGATATGTAAACAAGCCTCAAAAACAGACTTCTGGATCACCTACAGCAATCCCAAAGGGAAAAGATGGAACAATCTGATACTCAATCACCTGGACTCTCTGAACTGGCAACAAAAGAGGATCTGGGAAAAATGAAATCAGAAATAATTACTCAGATAACAACAAAGATTTTGCTCATAATGCAAGACATGATTAATAAATCTAGAGAGGACACAGATAAAAAAATAGAGGATCTGAGGAACATGATGGAATCCCAGCATAGGAAACAAATGGAATCCATAAAACAGATGCAAACAGATTTCCAGGAGATTAAAAACTCCATCAAAAGTCTGCATAGCAGAATGAACCAATGTGAGGATAGAATTTCAGATATAGGAGATAAGATTGCAATTAGTGACCAGGAAAAGAAAAATTGCTTTAAAATTATAAGGGAACACGAGAAATCAATCCAGCAGCTGTTAGATGATGCAAAGAAGAACAACATAAGACTGACTGGAGTCAATGAAGAAAGAGGAGAGTGCAGATGACATAATAAATGCATAATAGTTTGTGACTGGCAGGTAGAAGGTTATAGGGACCAATATTTCCATCTTTGAAATTATACCAGATTAGTATCTCAAAATACTTTACTGACCTAACACATCTGCTATAAACTCTTATATCCACATCTACAAATTGCCATATTTCACAATTCCTAAGCTTTATCAACCATTGGAATTCAAAAGACTCTCACTCTGATGGTCCTCCAAACCGGGATGTTTTGTGGTGGATATCATTCCATGTAATGACATCTGAGATATTTTGTGTTGAAGAATATCCCACTGTGAAAATTAGCTTGTGTTTAAAGGCTACTTGAAGCAGTTGCAAAATCTCTTTTCCTTCCTCATTATCAGGTAAGTATGCAGTTCGCTGTGTTCCAAAATAGGGCCTTCCTGGGTTTGGATGCTCTCTCTGTATGAAAATAAGAAAATGCTATGTGAAGACAGTTCCCTGTCTAAATTTTATTATATGTAATTTCTTAAAAGATACTTCAAGTCCATAAATTAGCTTTGTTGATAAAGGGCAGAAACCTGATTTTGAGGTAAAAGAACAGTTTGAGAGATTTCAAAGAATGTTTTTAGGCAAAGCATCTTAGATCACTCATCTTAAAAAACACTGGTGGAGGGCCGGGGATTTAGCTCAGTGGTTCCACTGCCTGCCTCAAAAGTGCAAGGTCCTGAGTTCAATCCCCGATATGGCAAAACAAACAAACAAACAAACAAAAAAACTGGTAGGGCTCCTGCCTTTCACCTGTAAAATGGGCCATTATCTTTTGGTGGGTGAACCATCCTTTTCTTACAAAAGACCAAGACAGAGATTCCTACAGATTCACAAATTCCACTGCCAAAAACACATAAGTATTCCCAGGTCCAACTGTAGTGTGCTTCTCTCTCCTGAGGGCCTGAACTTCTTTGAGTGTGTACTTTTATATTTCTTTCCAATAAATCCCTTTATGCCTCTTAAAAATAAATACATTTTATTATATGTATATCTGTGTTCATATGTAGGTAGTACAAATCAAAAGCAAGAAAAGTATTAAAAATTTTACTCATGATCCTAATAGTTTATTTTCTCCTCTTTCCTCAAACTCACTCAGAATACCCTCTACCTTCCCAACTTCCCCCATCCTAAAACGTAATCTCCAGCCACATTTTCTCTATTTTAAGGAACTGACATGACAGGCTGGGTGTAGCTCAGTGGTAGAGCACCTGCTTGGTATGTGTAAGATCCTGCATTCAATCCCCAGTACCACCACCACCAAAAAAAAAAAAAAAAGACATGAAAATATCTAAATTATTAGCAAACAATGTGACTTTTATCAATATTTCAGTCCCTTGCATGTGACCATGGGATAATTCCCAAAGAAATGCACTGTCTACTAAACAACAGAGCAGTCCCTTTTGTTCTGGTAAACCTAGCACAGTGGAAAGAAACACAGGGACCTCAGAAACACTTACTGTTTGTATGCCTCCCTTCATGGAGTATTTAATCACAATGGTGCCACAGGATTTATAACCTGGAAGTGGTTCTTTCATCAGGGTGTAAGTCATGGTTCCTTCTGGCTGATTCCCTTTCTGGATACCATAGGAAGTCTGACATAGAGGACATACTGGCTTATATGACATGGATTTCTTGATACAAGGGTCACAGAATTCATGCTTACACTTTGGAAGCACATATTTGTTACTAATGGTGTCCATGCAGATGCTGCAGATGTCTGTTTCTTTCTTATCCATTTCTGAGCTCACAGAACTTGCAGAGCCCTTGAGTGGAGGTGAAGCTGCTTTTGAGTCATTACTATCAAGGTGTATGAGGGTTTCAAGATCATCGTTCAGTTTCTCTCCAACCGATGGCAACAGTTGTAAAAAAAACTGCTTGGCCTGTGCAAGGTGATCTGGCAAGCCGGTCAAAGTTATTGACGCTTGATCCAGTGCAAAATGTACATTTGGATGTTTTTTGCTAAAGTCATCAGCAAATTTGGTCCTGCGCAGGTGTTTTCTCTCCTTACCCAAATCTTTCAGTAGAAGGACTTCACTCATCAGCAGAGAGGAGGCATGCTGAAGGGCATCAATGAAGCTTGCATAAGCATGCACAGACAGATTTACCTCTTTGTCCTTAGGATTGAATTGAATGTAGGTTTTCTGGTTTTTCTCCCAAACCTTACAGTGAGTGTTGTACTTCTGCTCTATCTCTGCTATCTCCTGGAGTAATTCAGCTAGAAGTTTATAACGGGCAGTATCAACCTCAATTGCATTGGTCATGGAATTGGGGACCAAGATTTTCACAGGTGGCTTGACAAAACCTTCAGACATTTTTTGTTTGGCAGTTGTGATGTCGTCTATGGTTCCGAGGAGAGTTAGCCCCTTTCTGTGCTCCTTTATGAGAAGCTTTGGAAAACAGCAGCTTAGTTTGTGTTTGATTTCATTTGCCTGTTTACTGTCTGCTAAAGGGACATGTTCATGCTTCAGAGATTCTGTTTTCTTCTGAAACTCACTGACAAAATACTCTCGAGCTGCTTCTAGGTCACCTGATTGACTGCAGGTGAAGTCTACACAGACCATACTGGGAAGGGAACTGGATTGAATTTTGATGTTTACACCAAATCTCTCCTTGATTGAATTTATTTTATCAGGACAGGTATATTTGAAGTATTCAAGCAAAAACAAGGGAACTTCAAAATGGTTTCCTTTTTCTTCTGAGCTGGTTTGGGGTTCAGAAGGAGAAAATCTGCTGACCCAGTCATGCTGGTCAGGGGGCTTCCTCTCCGTGGTGGAAGGGGAAGACTCCTGTTTCTGCTCATTTCCCAGGAGCTGCATACTCAAGAAGTGGTATATTTTTTCAATATCTCTGAAGTCACCACACACACTCTCAATTCCATTGTGACCCTCCGTCTTTTTGATAGTGGGGCAGACAGTGGCTACCTGTGACCTCTGCTCTTTGGAGAACAGGTCACAGTTCAGGTCAGCTGTTACAGTGAGAAAGATCTGAAATTTAAAAGGAACAGGAACAAATAAAATCTCTCAGATATTCAACCTAACAGTCTCCTCTTCAGGAGAAAGCCTAGAGACCAAAGAAATAGCCACTGTGTCTAGGGCTAACTTGTTCAAATGCTCCGAGAGGACATAGTATGCTGCAGACCAGAGGGTCTCAGTCCTGTCTGTACATTAGATTCACCTGGAAAGTTAACAAAAAGACCCCACGTCTGAGGCCTAAACCCAGAGACTCATATAACTGAGTTGTCTGCAGTGGAGCCTGGGCACGAGCATTTTTACAGCTGTAAGATCTATGATTTAGGGCTGCCACTGTCTGTATGACCTTCCTTGGAGGACCAAAGGCACTTTTGTTCTCTGGCCAAGTTGCTGTCATCCTCACAAATGTGCCTATGAGCTTGGAAGGGAACCATAAATCTAAGGAGGGTATTTTCCCTCTCCTACTATTTTTTTCCTCTTATTTACTCTCCGTCCTTAAAAAGCTAAACACTTGACTTCATGCAAATGTCTAGGCCCTTTTAAACTCTGGTCTTTAGAAGCTCAATTATGATACATTACACTAGGATAAAAAGGAAAGAGGCCAATGTAATGTAATATAAAAGCAAATTGTCTAGTGTTTTGCCTCCCTTCGAGTTCTTTGCACATACTCTTTTCCCTGCATGGAATAGTCTTCTTCTAGTCTTCAAACTGCTTCCTGAACCCAGACTCTTCTCACACCTCTGTGGGGACCACCTGGAGTCCAGGCCAATATCATCTTCTACTTGACCCCTGAAACCTCTCCCAGCTGGGCTCTGCGACATGTGAGCTTCTACTCTGCAGCCAGAAAAATGTAAACCAGATGGCTCCACTCACTTGCCTCAAAAACCTCTGATGAATCTCCCAATGTTCAAGTTAAAATCGGAAGCCTACACTTTCATCCCCGCAAAGATCTGACTTCTGGGTACCTCTCCAAGTTCCTAGCACTGTCTCCCTTGCTCCTGGCCCTCCCTGCGCCCTGGCTTCCTTGAAGTTTCTGGGGATCAGGATGGAAGCTCTTAGGTGGCTAAGAAAGTGTGCTTCCCTTAGTCTAGAATGTTCTTCCCCCAGAAACCCGCCCAGGTAGCTCCCTTTCTTCCTTCATGTCTCTATTCAGATGACACCTCATTGGAGAGGTTCTTGACAACCTATTTCAAATAGTGATTCTGTCACTATCATTTATCTTTCATTATTAGTCTTCTTAGCACTTCACCACTGACAGACATTTTACTATCAATTTGTTCAACCTTATTATCCTTTCCCCTTACGAGAAAGGTCCTGACTGTGGAGTCTCCCACATGCCTAGTTGTGTTCCCAACCCTTGTAACAGTGCCTGGCACACAGTAGGCAGTTGATAACTATTTGTTGCATGAATCTCTGCATGGCTGGCTCCTTCCCATCGTTTAAGTTGCAGGCCAAATGTCAATTCTGCAGAAAATCTGGCTCTGACTTTTGGCCAACTCTCCTCCCCTTTCTCGCCCTGGCCCTGTTCCTTTCTGAGGCAAAACCCTATTTTATCCTCCTCTTAGCTGCAGTGGTGTGATTTTTCGTTTTTATTTTTCATTTGCTTGCTTATCTTTCTGTGTTCCTCTCCAGCCCCAAAGTGAGCTGGAGAACTCGGACTTTGCTTTGCTCACCACTGAGTCTCAATGACTGAGCCAATGGTCAGCTCAGGGCATGTCGCCAGGGCTGGGTTGCTGGGCAGAGATGGCACAGGTGTGGTGCCCACAGAGGCAGCCCCTTCTGCCATCGCTCACCTTTTGGACACAGGGGTCCACAGCATTGGGAACAGATCCTTCATGGGAAGGCTTTGCACCAAACTGGGTTTCAGCTTGTGACTGGGGCAACGTAATGCTGGATTCCGGGTTCATCTCTGTTGGATCCTCAGTGGTTTCCAGGAAAATGGTCACAGGTTTGCTGTCAGCCTGAATTTGGTGCTCTCTCTTTTTCAACACTCTCTCCTTGGCTTCAGGGGAGACATCAAACATATTCACACAGAAATTGGAGAGGTTTCAGAGACAGAGAGAGAGTTGGCCTTCCCTATCTCTGTGGATTGGTTCCAGGAACCCCCAAAGACACCCAAATCCACAGGTGCTCAAATCTTTTACATAAAAATGCATCTAACAGCCTGTGTGCATCTGTTGGAAGGCAGAGGGAGTCTAGTGGGCGCAGGCCCCGTTCTTGTCCCCCAAGTCACTGCCACACTCTCCCAGCTTGAGCTGGGCCCCCAAGGCGCCCCGCACGCCCTGCCCTGTCCGGAGCTCACCTGCCCTTTCTCTGAACTCCACCAGGAAAGTGTCCTGGGCCCTGCGGTCCAAGGGCTGGACAGTGCACTCCCCGCCGCCGGACTGCCGGCTCTGGAAATAGCTTTCCAGTTTCCAGCGAAGCCGGGGCGCGTACTCGGACACCCGCACGAGGAGCGGGGACGGTGGGCGGGCGAGGGGCTCCATGGCTCTCGAGTCTGGCGGAGCGGGGCTCGGGACGCAGCGGAGAGGTTCCAGACTAAGGCGCGACCCGCCCGCCGCCTGGGCCCGAAGTTTCAGTTTCACTTCCCCGGAGGTCCCTCCCTGTTCCCGGCAGAGCCGCCTCCCCCTCCTCTTTGTGGTTGCTCCCTTGCTCCGGTGGCCGTCGTCGGGTGAGTAGATCGGGCACCTGGGGTCGGGCTCCCCCAGACTCTCGGGGTCCCTGACCACCGGGGCCCGGGGCCAGGCTTCCTCCTTTCAGGGCTGGGCGAGGAAATTAAGTTTCGACTGTGCTGGTCTTACTATTATTTGACGCTAAAAGGTAATTCACATTCTATATTCAGATTAAAGTTAGCTAGTTTTTATTTTTTGTAATTGAAGCGTTTTACCTGCATTGTACCTGTTCCCTCACGCCTGTGAGATTGACGCTTGGGACTTTGGTGCCCTCCCTCATCGGCTGGCCAACAGCTCTGAACTGGCAGCTCTGTCCCTGGGAGCTCATGTTCTCAAGGCCGGGTCAGGGGGAGGAAGACCTGCCCACAGAGAAGCCAAACCCAAGAACGGCTGGGATGGAATGGGGAGGGAGAAAGGTGGGAGAATGAGGGACCGAGGAAGGGCTGGCACACATCTGTACAGTCCAGTAGAAATATCGTGGGAGCCACAGTGTTAATCCTAAAATTCTTAGTCATATTTTAGAATAGGTGAAATTAACTTTACTGATAAGGTCTTTAGCTCAGTAAATCCAAACTTTATTTATTTTTAAAATTTATTTGTCTCTACGTAGTCTAGGCTGAACTTGAACTCACTATGTAGCCCAGACTGGCCTCAACTTAGCAGTGATCCTCCTGCCTCAGTTTCCTAAGTGCTGGGATTACGGGTGTGCACCACCATGCCCAACTATCCAAACTTTAATCATTTTATCCTGTAATGGTGATATCACATGATGGATCTGAGAGATAGATTCTAGGATCTTATGTACAGCAAACAAAGAATTACAAGTGTAGATCCAATGGTAAAAGAAAAAGCAGCTACATTTATCGAAGATAACAGGAAGGTATCCCCAGTGCAGCTCTGTGCTAACAGAAGCAAAAAGGGGGACAAACAGAAAAGTGGTTTCAGGGGTGATGGAAATAAGAAACACTCAGATAAATCAGGCTTTCTGATTTTAAAAGCTGTATACCCCACCAGGATGGCTCTTATTTGGTCTCTGAATAAGACTGACAGAAATGATTGACAGGGTGCTGAGTCTCTCAAAGGCATGATAGTAAACATGCCTATCCCAGAATGCACTTTGGTTAAATCACATACATGACATGCAGTCCATATATATGAAACTTTAACAAGCATCGAATGGGGAGAAGGTTACTCAAGGTCAGACCCTGAGCTCTAACACGCATGCACTCGGGCCTAGAGCATTAGAGATTTCCTGGGTCTTTGTCATTTTTATTTCTGCTTCTCTTAGGACCCTGGAAGGAGGATTGGCCCTGGGGTGTGCCCTAAATTCAGGTGGATGGAGAGGGAGGGGTCTCCCAGTGCCAGTTGTGCTATTTCACTAACAGGATTGTGTATGTTCTTTTTGTCATACTAAGTTTTTGTTTTTCTTACACTGACCTCACATATCAATTCAGACTAACCAGGTCTAATGCTCGACAGCTACATATGTCTAATGGTCTACCCTAGACAGCACAGGCCTAGATAGTGAAAGGTCTTCGAGACTGGGAAGAGAAATGGAAAGATTGAGACAAGGGACGCAGGAGAATGATGTGGCAGTTTTGTATTTTAGAAGGCCCAGGATACATTTCCAAGCAGGAAGAGGCCAGAAATGAGGCTTTAGCATGTAGCAGATAAGACTGGAAATGGATCAGCCTTTATGGGCAGCAAGCTGGCAATACTATCAGAATTATAATTGCATATACATTGTGGCTGCACTTCTAGGAATGTGTCCCATTGATGTATCAGTGCCTGTGTGAAGGGACCTCTGTATAAAGTTGTTCTTCACAGTCTTGTTTATTATAGCTTAAGATTGGGACTCCTTGGATGTCCATAAACAGGGGGCAACATTTAAATAACTTAGAGTGTGACTGTACCATGGAATACAATGAGTTGTTTAAAAAATGAAAAGAGGGCACTCTCAATGTGCTACTATGGACAGATCTCTAGATACATTAAGTGGGAACAATGAGGTACAGAAAAGTGTATATAAGATGCTACCTTTTGTGAAGAGATGCCTCTCCATGGATACAGGAGAGGTGCTGATTTCCTGAGTAGAATTTAGTGAGCAAGATATGAGGAGGCTTTTACACTTTCTGAATTTGAGCCATATAAATGTAATACTTATTCAAACAATTAACTGTAAAATCAGATACTACATAAAAATGTTTAGAAAGAGTGTTAGAACAGTTAATGTGGAGTGTCATCTTAATTGGTTTTGGGAGCTGTCTAGGGAATTGGTGGAGCACACTTCTAGGGGAGTCATTGAGGTGTGGCCTTGGGGGTCCTGTATATGTCTGTTCCCTCACTTTTTCCTTTCTGGGACTGATCCCCTGCTCTGCTTCCCAGATGCCATGAGCTAAGCATCTTTCCTCTGCCATACCTTCCTGCCATGATGTTCTTGCCTTTGGAGACAGCTGCCTATGGACTGAATGCCCCTAAACCCTGAGCTGAATCAAATCTCTCCTCTTTTAAGTTGTGGGTATTGGGCATTCTGTCCCAGTGATACAAAAAGGCTGTCTAATACAAGTGTATTGCTGAGACCTTGGGTACAGCAGTGTTTCAAGGAAAGCAGAGTAGGGGCATATTAGAGAGTGACTTAGGTGTTTGGGCCCCGAGATGGGCTGGATATGGGACAAAGAGAAAATTTAAGGATAATTCTTAGATTTTTTTTATTTGAGTGGGCAAATGGTGTATCATTTACTCAACTGTGGAAACCATAGATAAATAAAGCTTGGGTATTAGTGGGAGTAGAAGGAAATAGGAATGAGGACATAAGTTTTGCAGAAAGTATATTGGAGGGGATTGTGTTACTCTCAGGTAGAGTTGGAAAGTGAGGCCCAGAAGAGCCATAACTTAGACATATAGATATGAGGGTCCTATTTGCAGTGGGAGAGTCAAAACCCTGGGAGTGGATGAAATAATCGAAGCAGATTATGTAGAATGAGATGAGAAGTGCCTCTCAGACAGACACCTGAGCAAACCGTTAATGGGTGGAAGTGAATTCAGGGAAAAGACCTGTAAAGAAAAAGCGAGAGGTAACCAACCAACCAAGAGAAGAAGGCATAGGAGAAAACAAGAAAGCCAAGTTTCAGGAATCAAAGAATGAAGTGCCTCAGAAAGGAATCAAACTATCTTCTCTAGAACACTTCCTTGGGGTTAATCACAGGGAAGACCCTGACAGTTTCAGAGGAGTGCCAAGGTGGGGAGCCAGACTCTGCCAGGCTGAGCAGGCAGGTGAGCAGGAGTCAACTGCTCTTTCCAGAAGTTTGGTTCCCTGTGAAGAGATAGACACAGTTGCAACCAGGGATGGAAAGTTGGGAGGGCTTTCGTTGTTACTGTTATTTTTTTAAAGGAAGAGATGAAAGTTTTAAGAAATGTGACTCATGTTTCTAATTCTTTGGGGTTAAATGGAGGCTGTGGATACCACCTCCACAGACATGTTTTTCTCCCGGCCTTTAAACCTGGTCTGCAGACAGAAGCAAGTGCAACATCTACAGGGAAAAACCAGCAACCTACAGCAAACCCAGGTCTTCCTTCTTTTGTGAAAACATCAGTGCCCTCTAGTGGCAGAAATGCATCTTGTCCTTGCATTTCAGGGTTGTAGACTTAACCCCTTTTCCTAATGGTGCTCTGATACTGTAGCTGGTTGTGTATCTATTTTTTCTATTGCAAAAACATTAGAAATCACTTCAGAGACCGAAAGATAACAGCAAGTGTGGACCACAGTATCTTTAAGAATTTTCATCATCATTCTTAAAATTCACAACCTTTTAATTTGTACCTATTAGAGGGAAAAAACATTACAATGTAATTTTTCCCAGGTGTGCTAATTTTTATCCAGATATGCGCTATCTAGTTAGGTCAAGGATATTTATCACAAACTCAGTAACACAGCCCTTACAAGAACAAACGGGATTTCGTCTTTCTTTAAACACTGTCCTTTGGGAGACTGAGGCAGGAGGATCACCCCGAGTTGGAGGCCAACCAAAACTGCATAGTGAGTTTGAGGCCAGCCTAAACTACACAGCAAGAGACCCTGTCTCAAAAACTAAAACAGCCAGGGATTTAGCTCAGGGTCACTGCGCCTACCTCACAAGTGCAAGATCCTGAATTTGATTCCCCAGTACTGAGAGGAAAAAAAGGAAAAACAAAAACAAAAACAAAAACCATCACTCTCCAGGGGTTTTCACTGGGTCACAAGGCTGGTTTTTCTCTCTGTTCTTTGAATGCTGCATTCAGTCTCACCACTTTGTTATCTTCCTCTTCTACATATGTAAAGACCTGTGGCATCCTTCAAAGCCTGGCTGGAGTCTTACCTTTTCCATAAAGCTCTCCCTGGTCCAGCCCTTACAGCTTTTCCCCTCTCTGAACTACCACCATGGTTTCAGTTTCAGTCGAACTTCTGGAGAGGACAAAAGGTAAACAGTAACAACAGCAAAACAACATATGCATATTCACCGAAGGGGAAAAAGAACTACTCAGGATGAGAAATCTTGTTGAGTCCTCCTATAGAATATTTGTACCACATCTCCTCTACTTCTGGTCAGTGCTTACTGTGTTCTTTCTATTTGTTCCTAGAAGTAGCCCACTGTATCTGGGAACTGGAGTCTACATTTGGAAACACAAAAGAGAGTATAAACAGTGAAAGACCCACTGGGGACCTGGAGGATGGCCTTTTCCATGGTAAAAAGCATAAACATCTGCACTTCATGAACCTTGATCAGTACATAGATAGTTATCCCTATAACAGCAAGAAATTGAAGTCTTTGGTTATATCTAGCATCCTGATGTGGCTTTAATTGCCCAGTAAAAGCTTTCTCCTTGCACTCTGTGGGAAATGAGGAATCAAGAGTATGCTAATTTAATTGACAGTGTCAACTTGAAGGTGGACATTTTTAAAATGTCCCTTCCATATCATTTGGATTTTCTTCACTCATTCAGCAATTCTTTTTCAGGATAAAGGAAGGGGGTGATAGAAAAGGAATAAAATCGAGGGGATAAGGAAAGGTATTTCATTTGCTAAATCTGAATATTCTCCCTTAAGGCTTGTGTCATGAAATAGACGGTTGAAAGTGGACTAGAAAGTGGACTAGTGAAATAGACTGTTCTGTCTGAAGAAACTCCACAAGACTTCAGAGACTGGAGCCTGTCTGAGAATTTGGAGTCATTTTGTTTTGTTTTGTTTTTGTTAAATACTTTTATTGGTACATTTTAGGTATACAACACAATTACATTTCTCATTGGGAATTGTACCTTTACATAATGCATCTTGGTTCTTATTTTTTCCCCAT